ATTGATCACAATTGAATTAGTTATCAGCAAATGGTCACAAACCTAAGACCTTTAAAAAATAGATGCAGGCATAGTGAAACCGAACGTTTTTTGGGAGTATACTTTTGGAAGAACTTCGGGAAAACATAAATTTAAATCAGTATTCCAATAATTGGTATAATAGATTTCGAACACATAAAATTGATACAAAACTGTATGAAATTCCTAAAACATGAACGTTATTCAATGCGTATAAGTAATGACACTATACGCACTGGTGTCCTGTACACGTAGAAAAATTGCCATAAAGTGATCGGCATATCATTAAATGTATTTGTAGTTTGATTTTATTTGCTGTAAGTTTTACTAGCCTACAGCAAATAAACTAAATTTAGCTAAGATTGGTTCAGATAAAGATAATTTCGTCCATCTCCAAAGAGCAATTTCAAGCAGATGGATTTAAAAAAAAAATTATTGGAAAACTCTCTGTATATCTTATGTGGAACATGGATCTCACCTGAGACCCCGAAACAACACATTTTAAAGAAAAAGTACATTATTTAGGGAATTATATATGAAAGAGACTCATAAATGACCAAATTATACCCAATTAAAGTGGATATTCAAAATACTATAAAATACCTATTTATTATTTATGAAAGATACTCATAAATGCCCAAATTATACCTAATTTAAGTTGATCTGCAAAATACATTAAATACACACATTAAATTTAATTAATTTGACAAAAAGCACGTGCTGGCTTTCTAGGTTTCATAAAAACTCTTAAATCTTCAATTGAACATGGTTATTTCTAAAAATATTGAAATAAATTATAAAATCGAATGGTGTCTAAAACCGGTTTAAATCTTATCTTGCATTTCGTCTACATTTTAAACAGTGCAATGAACCTCTATTATAAAAAAATGTACAACAATACAAAAGTATTGCAAATTCTTTGAATAATCATAAAAAATCTGTCAAACTAATTAAAGATCAGAATATTAACATAAAAACAGGTTAAGCGGTATTTCGGCTTCTACAAAATTTCATATTTTGAGGTATTATAAATTATTTGGAATAAAATTAAAGAATATAAAATACGTTTAATGGCGTCAGGAGAAATGACTTTTTTTAATTTATAACTTAATGGAATTTAAAAAAAAAATTGGGTCAATATTTTAATTTTAAAATAAGTTTTTCTTGATAAATTCGAAGTTTTACTATTTTTTATGTAGTAAGGAATACATATCAAATTATGTCAAATATGGGCAGACATTCATTATAAAATGTATTTTCAACGTCTCTAACCGCTATAAACGTGTTTTTTAAATGAGATGTGTTGAAAAGGCTAACGGAGCAATAAACCTGCATTTTTAGTATTTTTTAAGATCCTGCAGTGCCATAACTCGGGTTTAAATGTGCAACTTTTTTTAAGGAACTCTGGTGCTATTCTTTACGATTCTTTTTTGAAGTCTCTTGTAAGATTTCGGCAGAGTTGTATTCAAAAATTGCATGTGTAAACCCCGAGATTAAGCGACGATTTTTTACCAGGAGTACCAGCAGATCTAAAAGGGAGTATTTTAATAGAGAATATTTTTCGTTTAAGGACTGGGAATTAAAAGAATATTTTTACAAAGACTAGCAGAGCTTAAAGCTTGGATATTTAAAGATCAATATTCAAGGCTAAGCGGAGCAATAAGCCTTAATTTTTAAAGGACTACCACAAATATAAGCCTGGAATTTTCAAGAACATATTTTCAGGGACTCACGCCGCTATAAAATTTTTTTTTTTTTTTCTTAAAGATAAGCACAGGGTATCATCATGAGTACAAAGGTATAACATTTTTAATATATAATATATTAATATATAGATATAAATTTACACCCACGCATGTCCTCTTTATCTGGGATCTGTGGGGTATTGTGTAAAATTTAAATAAAAAACATTTGTATTCAATACTTACTTGAAAAATTCCAAACGACCTTTGTCAGCTGCCGTCTTGAAAATTTCTACTGGAGTTCCACTGTAAAAACTACCCAAGGCAACAACTAACACCAACGAAAGAGCCAATACTGCAGCCTGTAAAAAATAAAAGGAAATATGTCAATTAATTTTTTTAATAAGTTAAAAGTTAGAAAATCGAATGGATCGAACTTTTTCCAACCTCCACCAAGTGGTGGACATTCCTAACACCGAACGAAATTCAGGTTGGTCGAACTTTTTCCAACCTCCACCATGAAATGGGCATTTCTAAAACCAAACGAAATTCAGGTTGGGCTAGTACCTCGAACAGACCCAAAATGGCACATGACTTTGGGAAAAGTGTCTGTACCAAAATGGGGACCGATATTGATAATTTTTGGTAATGACATTTGAGACCCAATAATAATCAAAAATATATACTTACAGCCGAATTTGTACCGAATGAGGCTACTCCGAATCATGGATTAATATTAATAATTCTTGGTAGGGGGATACGCTACACATTGAGAAACCCAAAAACCAAATTACAACCTATTCCGGTGAAAAACGTGAGCAAAATCTCCAAAATACCGAATATAAATCGAAAAACTCGAAAAACGTAACGAATATTGGGGGATCCGTTATATGGAGCTACACCGAAACGTGGACCGATATATCGTATCCTAGGAGTAATAGCAAAATCCTAGAAGTAATAGCAATGTCTGTGCAAACTTTCAAAGGTCTGTCATCATTTTTGAGATTTCTTTCGTGATTCCAGCAGACGGACTTGTCTCATTTACCAACCGATGTGGCTGTGACTAGAACCTTTAGGTTCTCTGAAGATAAGAAACTCCGTTGCAGACAATTTCTCAATGTAAGATTTTCGTTTAGTAGTGTTGGCGGGTTATTTGGGATACCATTTCTATTCTTTTTTTTTTTTTTGCAAAATATTCAGGCGCGAACGAACTACTCATAGAGGTCATACAGCTGGTAATGTAAGAACTTCGATTTGTTACAGGAGATATTTGGGTATGAATGTTTTTTTTTTTTTTTTTTTTTTGTAAAGAAGCTATAAATAGCTTCTGGGGAGAATATCGCAACAAAAAGCTAAGGGAACTGATGAGGATCAGTGGCGAGATCCGAAACTATAGTTTTCACTGTCTTACCCCCTCGGCGAACAACAAAATGGGAATCAGCCTGACTATTTTGCAAAAACAAAATTCTTTCGTTTATATAGCGATTCCGGTCTATTTTAAATATTTTGAAGGACCTATCTGCGCTTACTATTTTAAAGCCCTAGCCTCATTTTCTAATCGAAGGGCTGTGATTTGACGTTTTAGGATCTCAGAAGATAACAGACATCCTTGCCGGCATCGAAGTGGCTGTAATATGACATTTCATGTTCTCAGGCATTTTATGGTCTACAGTTTATATACCGGCCCGACCCATTTATGATCTTCCGAAAATCCTATCCTAGTTTTATAACCCAAGTGTCTGTAATTCTGGTTTCACAGAAAAAATATTTTCCCGCAGAAAATTAGTTTACTATAGATCCATAAGCACTCTCAGAATCCAATGTTATGTTGTTAAAATAGTATTTAGGTTCTTATCTTACCTGAAATGAATCTGCAATAACTACAGCCTTCATACCGCCCTGCGACGAATAGAAAACACACACAACATAGATGAGTACTACGGCAATTTTCGTATCCAAACCGGTGGCCTTTGAGAGGGCAATGGCCGGAGCAAGAACTGCAACTGCTGTATAGAAGCACATCTGGAAAAATGTGAAGATTTTTATTTTTAATTTTTTTTTTAAACAATTCTATATAATTTAAGAATCATACTTAGGAAAAAACAAGGGAATATGTTGGTATCCCTCATAAATCTCGGATCACACTAGAGTTATGTTATTGAAAAAAATTAGGTACTCTTAGAGTCATTTCGACACTGTAGCAGTTTTAATTAATTGTGCAGGTTTGAAACTCGATCTAAGGACTCAGAATTTCATAAAATTACTTTAGTGCGGTCCGGAATCGATGTATTCTTTGAAAGCCTAGACAAATATTTGTGTTTTGCAACCTACCTGCAGCACATACAAAACGGCGCCCAACACACGAATTTCCTTGCCAAAACGTATACCCAAATATTCATAACAACTGGTCAGTTCCATTTTGAAATAAATCGGATAGAAAATTTTGACAGCAACTGGTACCACAAATATCATGGGAATAACTGCAAATAAAACAACAACAATACAATTAAATTTATAAGACAAAAATCAATTTGTTGTATTTCCCCTTACCAATCAATACAAATTGTGTTCCCTGGAAATACATTTCCGATGGATTGCCCAACAATTCAATGGCGGTGATAAAACTTGTTGTCAAACTCAGTGTAACCGGAAATATGGACATTTCCGAACCAAGTAAAAATTCATTTGAGGAGCTACCAGATTTTTGGAAAAATCCATAAAAGATGCCAATACCCAATGAGATGACCAACATTCCTAAGAGTACCGTGTAATCATATGGTGAAAATGTGGCCTTATGTGAAGGATTACTACACTCTTCCATGGTTTCTTCATCATCGGAGGATGGATGAATTGCAACTTCAGCTACATCCTTTAAATTTTTCAATAACACCGATGCGGCCAATTTAAAGTGGGGATTTTCCACTGATGAATCCTCGCCGCGTACAATAACATATTCCGATTTCGTGGTTGGTGGATCGGTTGTTGTTTCAAACGATTCAACTATACCCTTGGCTGGTAAGGCCAAACATCCAGCAGTGTGTGCCAAAGCACACAAAAACAACAATTTCAATATAGCCACCATTGGAGCAGGCATTGTGACGATGTTTTTGGTTGATAGGTATTTTGTGGGAGGAGATTTATTTCAAAATTTGTACTGTTTGGGTTTCTCTTTTGAAATTATTTTCTTTGGTTGAGTTCCTTTCTTGTGACTTCCTTTGTGTGCGTGCTCTATATTTGCTTGGTTAGTTTGGGTGAATACTGTGTGGGAGGGGCGAGTAATTTACATTTCCTTTAAAGCTTTTAGCTATCGATAAATAGTTCACGGTTCCGTTTTCCAAAAAAGAATATGTTCAGTAAGCTGTAAATGAAAAATAAAAAAAAATATGTATTTAGTAAGTGAATTTTAACAGAATATGAAAATATAAAGAGTAAAGTCAAACGGGACTGAATATATGATACCCTACACCTCTTGGGATATGTATGTAAAAGATAATCTAAGCCATAGATACATACAAATACCTATAAATAACACATACACTTAACATATTTTCCTTCTTAAAATGTTATTTTTATTTATTTTATTTTTTTATATATACATATTATTTCATGTGATAATTTTGTTCATTAATTGATCGCATCATTAATTAATTAAGAAATTCAAAAGCTACACAAAAATTGTCACACATCCTACACACATGTGTATGTATGTTTTTGTGTATGTGTGTGTGCGTGTATTATTTGCAGCAGACGCCTAAACGTCTTAAATACATTTATTAATTAATAACAATGTATAAAAAATTTCAAGTTCAATATTATTTCCTTACTTATAGAAAGATCAACCACCAACAATAATAATGGATATGTAAGGCGCTTACTCACACACATGCACACACAAACATGTTTATTATGCAAGTCAATGATCTTCAATTAATTAATTGTCATTGAGTTGTTCTTGTTGTGGGACAAATAGTTATGGGTTCATAAAAATACCAACACCAACAGCAAACAAGAAAATCGTAATACGAAAATTGGTCTGGTTATAGGCGGACAAGCCCAAAATAAACCAATTAATGGCAATCGAATTGCCAATGGGTGGACCTGCACATCGTACAGCGTCAAGTGGATTAAATTAAAAACATGAGCATTTTATTTCGAAATTAATTATTAAAAAATAATACTTACTTAAAAATAATCCATAAAAAATAAATACTTTAAAATTGTATCTTATTAAGTGTGTGTTATTTAAAATTATAAGCATTTTAATTAAAATGAAAAGAATATTTTTTAATATGTTATAATAACTAGAATTATAATATTATAACTAAAATAATATAATTAAAAACCAGTGAGCGTAGCAGTATAGTCGGACGGGGCCGACCATATGATACCCTACACAACTTCCACGAAAATCTAACTTTTTGTTGTTCTATGTTCTGAGCTTGGGCAATATTTCGCGATATTTGCACCATTTTGACCGACTAGAAGTTCACAAATATTACTAATATTCAGTACAGCTCTTTTAATTATTTGTCCAGATGCACTTTACCATGAGTTGTGTTGTGATGTTCGCTTTCAATTGTGGCATATAGATCGACTCGAAAAAATACAAAAAATTATGTTTTCGGTCCACTTCATTCCAATATTATTATCTGATCATCGTCGAAATCATAGGCATTGCCCTTGACCATACCTGGATCCTCATGGAAAATTTCAAAGCGATCTGCGCTATATTTCAGACCTCTAGTCTGGTAATGGGTTACTAAATAATATCTGATTACGTAAGTACCGGTAAACATTTAAGTGTAAATCCCACATCCGAATACATACGACAAAGTAATTGGTATCAATTTGAAGGCCAACCACTCCTCGTGAATATATTGTCAACTTCTCGGGTCTAGGTCCTTCAGGAGTAAATCTATACGCTATAGAATACAATTTTTTTAATTTTTCACACAAAAGTCAGGGTCCGTTTGACCCACTAAATATTGACCGATCTTTATCAAAACAGGCATGCTTATTCTTTGACCCGATCCCCTTCTCCATGCAAAAATTCGCGGTGTTTGGGTTATAATTGCGGCCTCTGGAGCGACCAGAAAAATCGACAAAAATAAAGTTTTTGGTCCATTTCATCCCATAAATATTAACCGATCTTTTCCAAAAACAATAGGGATCTTCATTGGCCAGAACCCATTCTACATGCAAACTTTCGTGAAGATTGGTCCATAATTGTGGCCTGTATCGTGTTTACAAATTATAATGGACAGACGGACGGACACACATATCTAGATCGACTCCGCTAGTCGAGATATGACGATCGGTATACTTAAAGGTGGGTCTAGGACCAATATTTCGCGGCGTTAGAAACTTTTGAGCTGCACAAAGCTAAAATACCCTGACAACATAGTTTTGTAGGGTATAAATATAAAACCATAATTTGAAAATCCCCACATATTTTTTTAAACTAAATAATTTTAAAACAACTATGCAGACTTTAAAATTGAATTTTATTAAGTAAGTTATAAAAATAAATTGGAAAAAAAAATATTTTTTTTGAACAACAAAATAAATGAAATACTTGCTCATTTTCTTAAATAAAATGTGAAATAATTTTAAAAAAATTTAAAAACTCAATATTATTTCAATTTAAATAATCACATTTGAAAAAAATCATTGATTAAAACATATATTAAAATATCCATAACTAGCATATGCCCGCAACTTCCTTAGCGAATGTAGGAAATACTTAAACATGTATTAACATATTATTTTAATATCGACCATATATTAAATTTGAGTACCATTTAGTACCAAATTTCATGATTCGAGCTCTAAAAGTTCATCCAAATCCAAATTTGACCAAATTTAGTTCCATTTAGCACACATTATTTCCACAAGTACCCTCCTCAACCATCCAATAAAACTTCCTGCATACCCAGATCGTATACCTCCACAATGAATCCAAATTCATATTTCAGTATTCCAACTCTATTGGTTCACCCACAATTTAATTTGAACCAAATTTAGTACACAGTAGTACATATTTCCAAAACGTCTTACTTACCGCATATCTACACCACCACAGTAATCCTAAATTCTAGTTTCAAGATTCCAACTCTTTCGGTTCACCCAAAAATCAAATCGTACTAAATTTAGTACATAGTAGTACCAATTCCCAAACCCTCCTACATACCCCAATCCTACACCTCCACAGTGATCCTAAATCAAAATTTCAGGATTTCACCCACAATTCAAATTGTACCAGATTTAGTACACAGTTGTACGAATTTCCAAAACTTCCTACTTAACTCAAACCAACACCCGCACAGTGATCCTAAATCCAAATTTCAGGATTCCAACTCCATCGGTTCACCCACAATTTAAATTGTAACAAATTTAGTACACATTAGTACACATTTCTAAAACTTCCTACATATTTCAATCTTAAACCTCCACAGTGATCCTGACTCAAAATTTCATGATTTTAGCTCTATTGGTTTACCTAAAATTCAAATTGTACCCAATTTAGTACCCATAAGTATTAATTTGTTAAACTGAATCCTGACCCTAATCCTACATTCCTACAATGATCCTAACTCCAAATTTCATTGTTCCAGCTGTATTGGTTTACCCAAATCCAAATTGTACCAATTATAGTACGATTTAGTACTTTTCGTACACATAAGTAAAAAATTTCCAAAACTACGTACATATTCCAATCCTACACTCCGACGGTAATGTTACTTTCAATTTTCAGGATTCCAGCTCCATTTGTACCTCCAAATCAAATTTGTAACAAATATAGTACCATTTAGTACTTTTCGTACACGTGAGTACACGCTTTCAAAGCCATCACCTTTAATATACTCTACATCTCAACCCTAATTTGCATTCCAAATTTCAAGTTCTTAGCTCAATCCATTCACATGCTACAGATTTGTACCAAATTTAGTACATTTTCGTACTTTTCGGATAGTTACAGTTCGAATTTCCAAAAACCCTTTGGTACACTCCATCAACGACCACCAAACCAAATTTCAGAGTTCTAGCTCTACCGGTTCGCCAAATACAAATGATACCACATTTAGTACTTTTCATACCGTTCTAGTACGAATTTCCAAAAACCCAGCCTTATCTGTCACATTTGGACCAAGAGTGACCCTCACCCAAAATTTCAAGATTCTAGCTTCAGCCGTTTCGACTGGGCGTTGATGAATCGTTAAGGGGACCCGGCTTCAAAAAATTTGAATTTGTATTTCGATTTAATTTGAACCTACACTAATTCAAGAATGTTCCTATAAATTTTCAAGTGAAAATCTCGACAATTGTTGAAGATAGTGCCGATTTATTGTATTAGCATCAAACTTTAAAAAAACTTTTTTGAAGAATACACGATATTTATATATGTTTTGAAAACAATTATTTTAAGAAATCAACGTTAAAATTGTATACCAAAATAACTTTTTAAAAATCTACGCATAGATTCAGAAAATAATAAATAACCTAAACCTTACACGACAATTTGGTCAAATGGTCAAAAATAGGAACATTTTTTATAGGCCCGCCATTTTCTTAATTACTATGCGGTGTTAATAATCTTAGTTCATACCAGAACCAGACACGTACTAGTTTGCATGCCGTTGAAATTTTTGGATTCGGACAATTTTTTATAATAAAAACCAATATAACAACAATAATTATATCTATTGATTTTCTTATCCTTTAAGCCTTCTAATACATATATATACAAATTTACAGGTCTTCAATATAAGGCCAGTCCTTTGAAAATCGCCGAAATTTCAAATCGTGAACAGGGGATTCACTTAATACTATTTTAAGAATTATTAAAAGACTTTCAAAAATATATTTCTTAAATACAACTTAGATTAAAATTAAAACTAATACATAAAAAAAAAACTTAAAAGTCTGTGTTAATGACTCTGATAAAATCCAATTTTTAACTACGACAATAAATTAATAAAATTAGCATAAATAGAGACCCATCTGTGTGCCATTAACACTACAAAGATCATAAAAACCCATATCATCAGAAACCGGTTCAAAGCCAAAAACTTTGTAATTTAAATATTCGACATAGTTTACTAACTGTTTTATGCTTCTTAGCAGCTTGTGCTACACACTCGGTGCTATGTACGTACATCGGTAATGCATTCGCTGCAAAGCTAGTTACAACGCCACCACCTATGCTGGTGAACCGCATTGGAAAAGAAGAAAACACACACATGAAACCTCCATCCAATCCAACTAACAATAAAAATGTAACCAAGGCAAACACATGAACAAGACAAAAACAACAACAACGACAAACACAAACTACGGCCGATGCTAGCTGCCTGTTTT